GGCCCCGCCATGCCCGCCGCCGCCGCCCCCATCATCCGCTCCGTGCAGAAGCTGGTGCTGTACGAAACCAGGGCGGTGAGTACCCGCCGGGGGGCGGGGCAGCCACCTCCTGCTCGGGCCAGGAGGGTTCCGGGGGCTGCGGGGCCAATTCTCTCACCCTGCTTTTTTCCCATTTTCAAGCAGAGTATCCCTGGGCAGTTTTTGCTGTCTCCTTGGGCTCATCTGAGGGCCTATGGGTGTTGTCTGGTGTGCTCTGCTCGGTGCCTCCCTCTTGGCACTCTTGTTTTGAATCTTTGGCCTCCACACCTGCCCCCTTTTCATTATTATCTGTCCAGAGAAATCTGTAACTCATCACTAGTACCCCCAGTACCAAAGGGGGCTTAGTTTCTGTGGTGGGCCTGGCCCGCGGTTTCCCCTGGTGTGTTAAAAGAGGGGTGTGCTGATACGCATGGTACTTGCCTAGCCTTGGATTCGGGTTCAGGGGAGAAGCTGGTGGCTGGCTGGGTCCTCAGGGGGTGCTCGCTGGTTTGGATCCTCTTTTTCACTAAGCTCCAGGGAAGTCCGATGATGTGTTTAAGATTATGTTCTTATCGTGGGGTTTGGTTTTTCATAGGAGTTATGCTCTGGTGCTACGCCCACCCTCTTCCCAGTGGCCACGCGTAGGGGATGCACAGGGGTGCACGTGCTCCCCCTGAGAGTGCTGCTGCACCCCCTGTCTGGCCACATTCCCTGTGTAGGTGATGGGGGGTGGGGGCAGGTGGGAGCGCTGGTGCCCCTCCCTGCAAGTGCTGGCCAGGCAGTGTGAGTGCCGGATGTAGGCAGCGGCTACTTCTGGAAGCACTGTGGCCGCTTGCTGGCCAGTAAGTTTTGTTGTGGGGGGCCTCCCCTGCCCCCCACCCCGGTCAGAGAGATTGGCCGGGGAAGGAATCCCCCTTCCCCAGTCACTGATTGGTCACTGGGGTGTCATGTGCCCCCCTGGCTAAGGTGGCACCAGTCGCTCATGCCTCTTCCCTCTCTGTGTGTTCTGTTAGTGCCCCATATCACTGTCTACAGTGCTTACTCAACTCGTGTCACTGCTGTGTAGGTCAGGCTCAGGTCATGTCATGACATTGCCTGTGGTGTTCATGCTGCGCACAGCCTATGATGGACGTATTTTCTACAGCAGGGGCAGGCTGTTTGCTTTGGTTTTTCCCCCTTCTTTTATTGTTTCTTTTCCACATGCTTTTGGTAGCACTTGAATCATGGAACATCAGGGAAAGA